ATAACAACCTGCTCGAATTGTTGTACATGTAAGCCTCCGTGAGCAAGTAGCACTCCCTTTTTCCTCTCTCTCCATGAGACCATGAAAATAGGTCACGTTATTCAATTTTATCCTGTTCTCTAATATGACGGTATTGACGTCGTTTTACACCTAAACAATTAACTTCAAATACCAGTAGACAGCTGTCCACTGTTCATATCACTGGATTGAAGAAATTTTAGGTTAAAGCACATATACAGAGGTGGTATATGTAACGTGACTTTTATTCCATCCGGGAATCAGCTGATCACTGATGTGGAAATTTCCACCTTTGAAGGGAGCTATATTTTGTTCTAGTCAAATTAAATAAATTTCCAATCTAAATTACAACGCAAATAGAGCAGAATTTAGAGTGGGTTTAATTAGATTCAAATAAAGAATTCGTCCCCATGGGAGGTGTGGCGGCTGACGCAACAGCAGCCATGTATAGTAAGAAACTTTTGGCATTCCTACACCAGGAATTAATAATGTTAGTAAACTTTACTTCCTAACACTGTACTTTTATCTTACTGTGTTAGGGGTTTTGTACTAACATGAATAAAAAAATATGTTAATTGTTCATTTAAAGAACACTAGAATTGTGAAATTTTTACCAGAAACGAAAGTTTAACTGCTGTCGGAAATTTCTGACACTCAAATACTATCCCCTAGTGCGATAATATGTATTTATTGTACTAGTAATTATAATTTACTAACACTGCTGATCAGAATCGTAGTACCGCCAAATTCTTCCTATTATTCATGACCGCGATTGCATCAGCCTTCTAGCTCCCACGAGAATAAATTATATATATACTGTGACGGTAAAGTGTTGGAGTGTTGATGTTCGGCAGTCTTCAATGGCAGGGGGCAATGCCTTGTCACATTTACAGAAAAAAATGAAACCCTGCTTGCCTGTTTGTCTGTGGTAAGGTAATGGGAAGACACACAAAACACAAAGTATAAACAATGAAATTTTAATTACTCTAGAAAGCAAGATATGAACAAAGACATTCCCTTGGCTTACGTAAAATTCAAAACAAGTCAACAAACAAAATAACATGAATAATTAATGGCGGTGAAATTTACTCTAAAATAAAATGAAGTGCAAAATAATAGTAATATTAATCAGGTGCTGAGAATACTGGCTTAAGCTGCCACCTCCCTTAGTACACGACAGCCATAGCTTTGTCTACCAGAGAGAGATGTTAACTCCAAAGTGCACAGAGATATTCTGAGGAGTACGGCGTGTACTGGCCTAGACGTCGACTCACGTAGTGGCGTGAGTGCAGGTGCGGCGACACACCAGCCAATCAGGAGCAGGCAGGCGGAGAATGGGTAGTTTGCTCGTTGACGGCGGGCGGGAGCCGGTGTGTCTGGTGGTGCAAGGTACGCTTTGCTTCCTGGGCAAAACGTTTGGCGATACTGGTGGACGTATCTTCAATATAGTATCTTGTACATGAATGGCGTGAATTATGTAGGGAAGAGCAGGCTCAATCTCTCTTGAAAGAGATTATCGTCACAATACATAAATTGAATTAAACGTGTCTAACCTTGTTGAATTTATTAAGGGATATAGTTTGGCAATTGATTTAGTTCAATTTAGTAAACTATATGGCTGTTTATTGGATAGAGTTTTCTACAGCTAATCCAGTAAACAAAGTAATCAACTAAAATTCATCTACGAATATAAGTATTTTAGCAAATGTCATTTAGGTTAAATGATATACACCACAAGAAATAATCTGCTGTTACCTAAAGTACGTTATTGTGAAATAAATAACGTCGACAAAGTCTCCTTTTGGTAGGAAATTAGATTAAAATATTGTGAATTATATACCAAGTTTCACCATTTGGTGCTGGGTGGCACGCAGGACACTCACTAAAGAGACTTGGCAGAGAGAAGCCATATTGGAATGGTGTCTTGAAGCTGGTCGTTATTATCTTCTGATTATAGGAGCATCCGCGCATTATCAAGCCTCAAACTGATTAGACAGCTCCATCTTATTATGGACACCGCATTAGGCAAGTCTAAGTACCCTGAAATATATTGTTGTGGCCATGACATATATTTTATTTCAGGTGCCTTGTCGTTATGCAGCAGGAACACAAAATAACATCCGTGAGTGTAATTACCATGCCTAATTGCTCTAATTTCATGAGAATGCGTGTAAATATACACACTTAGGTAAAAATTACATGATATTTATATTTCAGCGTAGAGCTATCTACAAAGGAAGCGTACTTAATTATTAATCCTGTGTCGCCCCAAATAACAGGCATTGACAGGATTAGATGGGTCATAGAGCTGCTGGACGTATTCTCCGTTCGTCTTTGGCAGCTAAGCTTCCAAATGTATAAATTTAGTATTTAGCATACTAACCCATGCTTCAATTTATTTCTGATTTATTTATGAAATTATATCATATCAATATTAAACGTAGAATTTAGAATTTATTCCCCCCCCCCCCTCAAAAAAAAGATGTGTAGGGGAATCACGCCATTTTATATTAAAGTTTTTACAGTCCACTTCTCTACCTTTATTTGAATTAATTATCTACTTAAATATTATATGACATTGGAGAAAAATATTGGAGAAAAAATACCACCATAATTGCCACATCACCAAAATTAAATTCACCAGCTAATAATTTTGTGAAGTCATCTTAAAACACCAGTCTGGAGAACAAAATAGATAAAAAGTATTCTCTATGAACGGATCTAAATAAGTCCAAATAAAACCAAGGTCTTCCCCCATTGTCAATAAAAGGCAGAAAAGTGATCCAACCTCTCGACGTGTTGTTTGATCGGAGAGGGAGAAAGAGACGCCATTAATTATCAACATCAAGTCTTGCCTGTGAGGATACTCTCATAAGATACATAAAAATTTCCCGCTAGTCACAGTGTTGCAAGATGCCAAATCTCCTATCATCAGCACGTCTTCATTAGCAAATAATGAAGTGTTTTATATCCGTTTGACTATTATTATTGTACATTTATGGCCATATTTAGTATATTATGTCAAGTGGTTAGAATACATGGCAAGTCACTTAAAATGGGTAAGCTTAAATTAACTCAATGAATTCTCCATAAAATCTTGCTTCTGATATAGCTGTCATATATTGGTTATTGTTTATTACTATGTGACAGTTTGACAGGTGAAATTGAAGGGGAAGAAGACACTACTGGCTTTTTCCAGTATTTTGTACATTTATGTTTTGTCAGAGGAGATTTGTGTGCCCTTTTTCTGCATTCTATTGTTGTGTTCTCAGACGGGTGACAACTGTCTTTAAGCCATCAAATATCTCTTGTAGAGATAATAAGTTCTTTCTGTATTGTGAACACATTATTGCCAATATTTCTTTGGCAATAATGTCGTCTGTCGAGTCTAAATTCGCAATTACAGCTCTCGTTTCCCCTTTAAGCTGGCATTTTAAATATGAGAACTTATTTACCTTGGTTATAGATGCCTTTGAATTTATATATAAAAACGCTCCCAGAAATCGTCCCAGTTTTCTCTTCTAACCCAGTAAAGGTGGGTAGACTGCTTGGGGTTGTGATGGAATTAAATTTGGCGCAGCAGCTATAGCAGCTTTAGTATTTTTATATTGTGCAAGCATGGCTGTGATCTATCAATAATTAACTACAACCCCAAGTTTCAAATGACATCATTTCTACGACACTCATATATCATATTAGCATATAATAAAGGATTTTTATAAAAAGGATTATCCAAAATATGTTTAGTTTTACTAATACAAGTAGTCAAAGTTCCCCCCCAAAATACATGCCAATATTTCATGTTTGCAAATATTTATAAAATCAATAAATAAACTTATGAATAAAGGGGTTTATAAATGTTGTAGAGACGTCATCTCTACATATAAAGTGTAAATTTCATGTAAATTGAAAAAAATGAAAGAGGAGATGCAATTTTATGTTTCTTGAAAATAATTAAGATCAAACACTCTGCCACCTGTGGTTGAAGTTGATTTCAACCAATTTCCTCCAAATTTGCATCTTTACAGAGAAGCATACGTTCTGTACGGTGTATAAGTTTCATGCAAATCGGCTAATAAAAAATATGAAAAAAAAATTGAGATTTTTTTTGTTCATTTGTTTTTTGGCATAAAACTGAATATTAAAATGCTTTATTATATGATATTGTGATAGTTTAGAGTCATAGACATGATTTCAGTTGACACTTTTGTTTTATGTAATTTTTTGACCATTTTGGAAAAATTTTGAAACAATTCATTTTTTCTCCTCCCTTCCTATTTATGATACGATGCTGAGAGTTGAGCCAGGTGAACCAAATTTTATATACAACTAGTCAAAAAAGTTTGATTGATATTAAACAACATTTAAAAAAGCGTAATATGCCCCCTTAAGGCTTAGTGTAACTGTTTGTGTGTGTGTATGTCAGTGTGTATGACCGGGGTATGTCTTCATTGTGGTGGTGTAGTGGTTGAGAGTTCACTGATGCAGTCTGCCCCACACCCACCCAGATGGCATCGCTGATGCGGATTTAAAGTGCCAAGTTTGATTTAAAAATGGGCTTTTTACTCCAGTTAGTAAACGTATCTGGTTAAACAGTTATTTATGGTTCATATGTATTTATTTTAGAGTATTACCATTCTAATTAAATAATCCTTCGCATTATTTTAAGTGTCCTGATAAGGAACCCTCAAGAGGCCTCTCTTGTTTACCACATCACAAAATGGTAGTCATTTGCTGAATAACTCGCTGTTCTGGGAGGGCTTGTCTTGGGTCTAAAAGTAGCTATTCCTGGTCCATTTGCTCTCTCATAAACCACGCACTATAAATAAAACATACTATAATATATTTTTGGTGGGAATTACCCACCTAAATATCTACATTCTTGACCCTCTTAGAAAAGACTGTGACCGGTGATTAAGGGTTGGGTGTTTAGCCACAACAGTTACACCTGCACATAATTATGTCCGTTGTTTACCCCTCAGAGAAGACTGTGGCCGGTGATGACAGGTCGGGTGCTGGCCCACGACAGTTACACCTGCACAAGTTTCCCAGGAAGTGTTCCCTGGCCCACGCAGCGGGTGGACGGGTTCTTCGTGGGGTCTCCCAGGTCGGTTAGTGTGTATATACTCACTTATTTCTTGTAAAGTACAAAGATTTTGCTCTTGGATTCCGCCATTTCACCAGTTGGTTGTTCAATGAAGTGATTAGCTATCTAGTTCTCATCATATCTACATACAAAATTATCAAAGGACTTTGTTTTTCAATAATCTGCTCATTTAGTTCTTTCCATTTCCCTTCTACTCAAATGCTAAAAACTAATATCTCTCTGGCTCATCTGTTTCTCAAGCTTCCATCTGGCGCTGTTGTTATTCACTGTGAACATCTTCTTTCTACCCTGTCAGAACCGTCAAGTACTTTTTAGTATGTCTGTTGTGAAGCACTGAGTCAAAGATGTTTTGGCAGTCCAGAAATATGTATCCCCGCTGCTTAACCTTTTTAGCTTTATCTTAATTTCGTTACATTATTTTGTAATGGGGGGTGGGGGAAATAGCTCTATCTTGTCCATTATTCCACCCCCCCCCCCCCAGTTAACTAACGAGGCCGGGGGAAACAGCTCTCTCTAGTCCATTATCCCGTCCTCAGTTAGCTAACTATTCTAGAGCACCTCCAGAGTTCCTAAGGCAACCTTTCTCGTTCAACACCTTGTAACCTGGGTATATGACTACCTAGGTGCTAAGACTACACGGCGTCGTAACTGGGTCAGCTACCCGAAACTCTAGAGAGAACGCTAGAATTCATTTCACTGCCACAAACGTATAAGAGGAAACGAAAGGAAAGAAATGAACAGTGAAGTAATTAGTGAGGGTTTGGGGTGAGAGGGAGAGAGGTGGGAGGAGCGAGGAGGATCATTAATTGAAAGTGAGAGTTTAGAGAGGGGTGGAGGGAGAGGAATAGATAGGTAGAAATAGAAGAGTAGATAGTAGAAGTAGAAGAGTAGATAGTAGAAGACGAAATGCTGCCACCATCCATTCTAGATCATCACATACAAGACAAGGAATGGAACTTGTCTGTATCACAAAATTCTCAAAAGATGTTATAAAGGTCATTATTGATATGTCCCATCTCTATCCTGTACTCATTCTAAACCATGAAACCAGTAATCACAGAGGCTTTCTCACTTCAACTCAAGATTTCTAGGAACACAGTGAAAGACCATTTAAATAATAAATTCAACAATTATATTTTTCATGATAAATATCATAACTTAAGCAATCCAATTAAAATGTTAAAGATTATTATTCAAAGTGAGTCATCCTCCAAGAATCTGAGAACACTACAACTGACTGCCCTTGATCATCACACAACACTTGTAAAACACGACCCAGTCACCTTACTGCTCAACTCACCAAGTGTCTCTGCCTATAGCTGGATAGAGGGGGGGGGGGTCTGTAGCTTGACAGAGACTGTCTCGCCCTGCCGGCCGACAGCCTCCCTGCTAGGGACGTCTTCTCTGCTCTGCTGACTGCCGTTCTGTCTGTTAATGCTCTCGAATCAATAGTTCTCCGAGTATTTATTGGGGAACCTAGTAGCTAACTCCGCCCACAAGTAGATAGCCTCCGGCTTTCTACCAAGCTACTCCTTAAACGTCGGCAAGTTTGAAGGCTACCAGGCTCCAATTATAAGATTAGTAGAAGTAAGGTGAAATTCGCATGATCTGACCTCAGGTCACTTGGGGTCATTAACGCTTTGAGGTGTGAGATCTCAGGCCGACAACCTGGCGCCTTTCCAAATCCCTGTCTGTGACTCATGTACTATATATATATTTTAAATAAACTAAACCAAAACACTTTACAGTGGTACATCTCCCCTTCTCCCCGAAATAAAGTTTTTGCAACACTGCTAAAGCAAGCTAGCTGTGTGCAACAACTTTATAACCGAAATAAAAAAAATACATCCTAGCTAAACAAATATACATCATCCTACTCTAAAAAATGAAATATATAGACAGACGTCCATTGTCTCTGGCTGGGCGACGTCACTGCTTGGTCTTGTAGATAATCCTGTACCACATTTCTTCAACACAACTGCCTCCGTCGCTTCTCCGTCGTTAACGCACAACAACCCTTGGTCAATCAGAAAGCCGTTACTACTTGAACTGCGCACAGGACCGTGGAATTCGGTTGTCCCAGCTGATCTGTAATTGGCCCTATGTCAGTTACCATGAGAGACGTATATTGGGGTTCTTCACAGCTATGGGGACTACAAGTTTCGAGACCTTCATATAGTTGCCAACAGTAGAAATCCCATCCTACTCTTCTTCCTCCCTGTTGCTCCAGCACGCCTCCTTCAGAGAGCCACTTCTGACAGCCACATAAAGTCCGCATGACACAGGAAGAATCACTCAACAGAGCAACCTGCTTGCAGGAGGGGCGGCCAGTTAAGGCAAACGATCCTGTCTTGCAATTACGCTCCATGCAATGATGCTGACACCCACAAGGGACACTAGGCATCGTGTCTCAGCTTGTCTTATCTTCTTCTTTCTTCTCTCTTCTTTCTTCTCTCTTCCTTCTTCTCTCTTCTTTCTTCTCTCTTCCTTCTTCTCTCTTCCTCCTCCCATGGGTCTTTGACAAGCGACCTGGGGTCCATCCGTCCTGGGGTCCATCCTGGGTAGACCGATGTTGGTGGGACAGACTGGAGTCGTTGTTGTTCCTCTTCCATCTTTACTGGGTCGTCTGGGGTCGTCTGCAAAACGACCTGGGGTCCACTGGGGGTCCGTCCGTCTTGGGGTCCACTGGGGTCCGTCCGTCCTGGGGTCCACTGGGTAGACCAATGTTGACCGACCGAGAGGGCTGCATCTTGGGGTCCCCGGGGTGGTGGTGGTGATGGTGGAGCCATGACCTCCAGGTAGTGGGCTGGTCGTGGTGGTGGTGAGGAACGCCCCTGAGTGTGGTACACAGCAGCCGTCTCCCTCTTCTGTATGTGCGTCTCTCCTCTCTTCTGGCTCCTCTCTTCTGGCTGTGGATGAACAGAAAGGCGACAATACCGTGCTCCCAAATTGTTGTGTGACCCTGTAGTTTGTATAGGGTTACACAGTCCAGTCATACCGCTCTCCTCCTGGCAACAACTACACTTAAATTTTTAAAATAATCCAATTAACACTGAATGATATTGACTTGGTGGAACATAAAACAGTACTTGTTAGAGAAGTAAAACAGTAAAGTTAGAGAAGAGAGAATAAGATCGTCACTACTTTTAACTTGTCACTAAATGAATCTCCACAATAAATATCAAAACTAATAGACAAAACACTAGCCTAACTTAACTATACCGTTCCTAATCTTACGTACTGTTACGGCCCTCTCGGGTCGCAACTGAGTTCGTACTCTGATGTTATTAGAGGAAGTTGTATCCGGCCCCAAGCCAGTAGTGGCTTTCAAGGAATGAGATCCGTGACGCAAGTAACTTAAAGGGGAAGGGAAATAAAGGCAAAAATTTAAGATTATAATTATTACCATCACCAAATAAATAGTATATAAAAGGTTACTCGAGGGGAGGGGTATTAACACTGCACAAGGGAATTACACAATCGTCTTCTCCTGAAGACTCTGGATCCCAACTCTCGGTGCCAAGTCCTCGGTGCTTTCGTGGCCTCTTCGACGAATCCTTTCGACAAGCTGAGTCTACCCTGGCCACAGGCCAGCCAAAACACAGTTCCACTGGGGGCACCGCCGTGGAGGCCGTCAACCACAAGTCCAGCAGGTCTGCTGGCAGGTTCCGGATCAGCAACGCTGGTCAGGCCACTCCACGAGCGATACTAGGGTAGCGCCCTAGTCAGGAGCCTCGTGTGATACCACAAATCACTCTCCTGTCCTCAATACCCCAGTGGTCAATCGTCTCCAGCAGTCGGTCCCGGGTAAGACAAGCCTTCTACTGCCACTTCACTGGCAGGGTAACACCACAGTGTTCTTCCGGGAGGCGACCCACAGCTGCTACAGCAAAGCACAAGGTATGGGGACGGCTGCCTTGGGTAGACTGACTCAACTTCCATCACAGCAGTCCCAGGTCGACTCTGTAAGCAGACACGTCATCAATAACAGGGACACACAAAAACACCTCACTTACAGGCTCAGACACAAACGCCCGACATATCCACTCCATAGATGGCGTTGTTGTCTGAGACCCACCTCACCAGAGGTCAGCAGCAGCGGTGTTGTGAGCTGAACAGGACTGGAAACTGGCCCCTGTGGCCAGTACACGTCGTCCTCACCAGGTGTCGTCGTCCGTTTGGAGGGGGTTTTGGGAGCTGACCCACAGATGGCGCGGTCGTCACTGCTCCGTGCTCGGACGCTGGATCCGGGTTCGTAACACCTCCCCACCAAAAAGAATTTGGTTTGGGTTCTATAAAAAGAAACACAAATCAAATTAGTACGGCGACACAACTCCAAATGGACTCACATGCTTTATAAACTGGAACGGTGAGGCTGTCTCGTCCACAGAACTGTCCTACTGGACAATTCCGGCACAAAGGAAACTTGCAGATGTAAGGCAATGTCCTGCCTGGCGTAATCTTCCACGTCTCCACTGCGATGTCAAGCAGGGGCATCATCTCACCTCTCTCGAGTAAGAATCGGTGTAGAAACGATGAGGGGCGACTCGACACTTCCCTGTGTCGTGGCACCGATGATGGCTGATCACAGACGGCATTTCTGGTACCCGTCCGATGGTCCTTCAGGGAGACAGGAACCTGGAATACAGGGGTCTGATAATTCAGAGTGACAGCGACAGCGGGTAAAACAGTACTTACAGCATACTCCTCTACTAGGCCCACACCTAGTTCCAACGAGGCTGTTCGTACATCGAAGATGGCATTCGCTCTGCCACCGTCAGGTCGACCAACGTTCCGCATAACACTGCATTGAGGCTCAGCTATCACACGGGGGGTGTCAACCTGTTGGAAACAGTCACTCATATTATCATATCGCGTACCTCCTGTATCTACCATCACCTTCCAGGTTCCTTCTTCGACTGCAACACTCACAGTGCACGTCTCTAATCCCTGGGATCTCTTCACGATGTTCAAGGGAGCCATCATCCTTCGGGTCGTCCACTG